GTGTGTGTGTGTGTGTGTGTTCTCGTGACAGGATGCTCTGTGTACAGCTGGTCTCTGCACACATCTGTGCCGTGGCAATGGGCGTCTCAAACAGGAAGGGACTCTGTCCCAAAAACAATGAGGTAGAGGCCTTGACCTGCTTCATCCCACTGCATGCCTGTGTGTGTGTTGGTGTGACTGGGAGTGCATGCTGGTGCTGTGTGTGTGCGCACGGCCAGGTGTGACAGGGAGTGCACACCAGTACTGGGTGTACAGTATGTGTGATACTCATGTATATCCATCTCCATCACACTGCCTCTTCAAAATCTTCACATCTCCTCTCTCCCTCTTTCCCGTGCTCCTCCCGCCAGCGGAAAGCGGTCCTCTCCAGAGTGTCACTGGGATGCCGATCATTCCAGCGCTCCGTGCCGGGAAGCTGGGGGCGGATGGGGGGTGCTCTGTGGGAGCCCCCCCCACCACCACCCATACACTACGTAGGCAAGGCTTTGTGGGAAGTGCCAAGCTACATAACGCTCCACTCCATCCCAGAAGCTCCTCCTCACCCCCACCCCCGTACCCATACCCAAGGAGGCTGGCCCAGCATGTCCCCTGTAGCAGCTGGCCCCCTGGGGGGAGGGGCATTTCTGGGAACATTAAGTGGGTGTGTTTCTGTATAAAGGGATACAACAAAGTGTTGGAGGGGCACCGGTTTCCATGGCAGCACCCCAGCACCAGCAAGACCGCAGGTCCCGGTAACGCCGTAGTGCATGCGGTCCTCATATTAACCAAACACATGCATGTAGATGCCAGTTCACACACGTAACAGATTACATGCGTGTTTGGCTGTGGTCACAGCCCACAGAGAGCGCAGGAGGACAGAAAGGCTATATGAGGCTGGTCTTCAGAGGGAGGCTAAATGAAGCGACACTATTCCATTCAAATCGTAGGCAGCGTAGCCAGTGGCTCCCACTGCATCCTGGGAGATTTCACTGCCTCGTCTCGCCCCCAAACCCCACCCACCCCGTCGTCTTTACATCTCTCACCTCCTGTTCTGCTCCTTTCACTGCTCCCCTTCTCTTTTACCCTGCTCCCTCCTTCCCACCATTTAAATTTTAATTTTTACTATAGGACCTATTAACTGTCATGCACGTGGCATAACGGGCTGATTAAGAGATTACCTCATCACCCGCGCTGCCCCACCCCACCTGGCTGTTTTCCACCTTCCTGGTCTGACAGGTGCTTCCTGTCTGTGCCGTCCCGCTGCGCCTCAACCGTCATAACAGCCAGCGATGCCCGGGGGGGCGCCCTCCTGCTTCTGCGGGACCCACACCGTCTGCTTTCTGCTCTCTCTCATGCTGCTGCCCCCGTCTCCACCCCCTCTTTTCCTCCCCATGTCACTCACTTCTGATTTGTACACAGGTGTGCTGCAAGTTCACAGGCTAAAGGAGCCGGGACACACGTCCCAAAGGGCCAGCTCTCAGAATCCTAAAACCTGACGCGGACGCCGACCGCTTACGGTCATGGCTGCGCGGGGGTGACAGTGGCTGCTCTCACTCCCTTCTCAGACACGGCCTCGTGTGTCTACGGTCGATGCGAGCTGATAGGCTGCTCTAGGTTAGCTAGGACTACGCGGGAGCGAATCAGCTTCTCACAGACGGCCGGCTTAAAGCCCCGGGGATGAAATGAAGCACCGCTGTGATGTCATCACACTGGAGCTGGCCAGCGAGCATGAGACAACCTGAGCAAACAGACACATAAAACCACACACTATGAACCTTACACGCCCTAACGTACCCTCAATCTTACACACACACACACACACACACACACACACCTAGTTAGATACATTGCTGTCTGGTCATCCTCTGTGCAAGCCCTGAGCCCAGATGACAAGGTCACACTTTGGGACATGACCTCCATAAAAGCACTGTAACACACAGACTGACACACACAGACACAAGCTCAAAGAGGCAGGGAACAGCCAAGTATCCACTGGAGGTAATCTGTGGCAGCAAAACCACAGTAACTAATTACTGTCCTCTCCCCTACATACAAGTGTCCCACGATCAGTTAAATGTAACTGACTTAGTCTGAAGTAGAAACAGAAAACTGTGCTAATATTTCAACAGCACTACCTCCCAGAAGTGAAAACGGAGGGGCGAGTGAACAGGCTGAGTAGAGTGAAGGTAACGGGCACGCGGTTCCTCAGACACCATGCCGTGGTGTGCACGCCGGCACCCGACAGTACGCGGCAGATACGCGGCGGCACCCGGCAGTACGCGGCAGTACGCGGCGGCACAGCACTACATGGCAGATACACAGCTCCCATGTTAGCACACACACCTGACCTGCCCGTCTGGCTGAGACACGCATGCATGACAAAAGGTGGGATTGCCGGCTGATTCCCAGCCAGACACAGAAGCTCTACCTCAGCTGCTTTCTCTGCCTCAGGATACTGCGACAGGGCCGGATCCTCCCCTGCGCCTGCTCCTGTTCCCAATCCTGATCCCACTCCTGCTCCCTCCACCCGGTTCTCGCCAAACAGCCCCTGGAGAAGGCCAAGCTCCAGCTGCTCCCAGGGGTCAACATCCGGCAGGTCCGGCTCCAACTCCAGTCCCGATCCTGATCCTTCCGAATCCCAGTCGCTGTCTCCGGTCGTGGATCCCAGTGTAAAGTGGACTGCGGACCGGCTGTCCTCTGACTCCGAGTCGGAGCCCCAGCAGGCAGAGGTGATGTCTGCGGCCACCGGGAGGCGCTCAGGGGCTGCCAGGTACACAAAGCTGGCAGTGGAAAGGAAGGCACTCTCCTCCAATTCGTGGTCTGGCTGGGGCAGAGGGCTGGGGGGGGCAGATTCTTCTGATGGGGAGGGGGGGCTCCCAGGGGTAGAGGACGTCGGCATGGATACCGCCAGGTACACAAAGCTGTCCGTCGCCACAAAGGTATCCCTGTCCTTGCTGCCCAGCTCTGCTCCACTGGCATCAGGCTTAGAGGACAAAGAGGGCAGGGGGAGAGAGGCAGGGCCATCTGACTTGGGTGTGCTGGTAATCCTCTGTGCTGGATCCCCCAGATCGCCATAACTGTCCTGGGGAGTGGAGATCTCCA